ACAGGCATACACAGGAGCGCTCTGTCAAATGATCTAAGGTTCTGACCTTACATATACCTAATGAATACTACAGAGGTGCCTGAAATATACCTACTCAAACCTATAGGTGGTGCTGTAGTTCTAATAATCTACAATTCACTACCTCACATAGATATATCTATTATTCATAGCAAGTTAAGTAAACATTAACAAAACATTGTGGTTCAATTCCCCAACACCAATTTCTAAAGTCTGGGGTCTATAGTCTCTGCTATATTTTATTTAAATTTAATTTTTTTTCCTATTTTGGAAATAGGAAAATTGGACATTCCATTATCATACAGGCAAACTGTCCCTATTTAGGGGGGCAGTCCCTATTTTTTGCCCAAAACCCTTTGAACCTATCTTCTGTCTTTTCTGTCGCTCTGTTTTGTTGGTGTATCTGAGACAATGATACTAATTTGTCTTTAAACTACTATAAATCTGTTTTAAAAGTAGTCTGTATTAATAATGTACAATGTTTTTGTTCGTAATAACATTTCAGTTGCATAAATTGTTAGTAAGTCCCCTAAAATTTCTCACAACAGCCACACCCCCATTCATACACCCTGGTCTGGGTGCTGGCCCTTGTCCCCTTAACCCTGCAATGTCAAACACTGCACTTTTAGAGAGCCATTAGAGGCGATTCCTCGATTAACATGGAATTTAACTACATAAAATGACGTTGGACTGCCACACGCTCTGCATGAGGATGTCCAGCGTCTTGAAAATCCCCATTGAAAAGCATTGTTTCAGTGGGCGTGTGGCGCTCACCGCCATGAACATAGGTTCCCCCCATTGCCACAAAGTCACGGGAGAGGAAACATGGAAAGAGGTATGCGAAAGAAAGTTTGAAGTGCCCCCCTTTGTCCATTTGAAATGTTGTAAGGGGAATTCATTATATCAAGGTTCTCCAAATGCTGGCCTTGCCGATGTTTCTGAACTACATCTCCCTTGATTCTCTGTCTATCCATTTGATTCAAAGTATCATGGGTGGTGCAGTTCAATAACATATAGATGGCCAGAGTTTGGAGAACCCTAAGGACTATAATAAAGTTAGCTTGCTGAGATGGAACTCTGCGCAGAGACTTCAGAGACAGAGTTTCAGCATGAAATGCCAATATTTAGCTTTTTTTTTTACCACATAGCAATTTACACAATAATTGCCCTTTTAGACTGCTATCATATATTTTTAGTACGTTTGTATGGCTTGCTATTATTTGGTGTTAACAAATTTGGTAATAGTGATAGATAGATACCTAAATCTAAAGAAAAGCTTTTATTAAAAGGTGTAGCAACCGTTAAAATCCAGTTTTGTCATTGACATGACAAGACAACATACACCACCCTTGGCTCTGTCGGCCCAGAAAAAGGATCTTGCAAAGTACAGGGAGAGAGGTTCACCTAAACTTCTGGCAGTTGCAGGTTCTGCAGCTCTAGTAGGCCCCTTTCATTGTGTAGGTGCACCCTTTGGAAAGCTGAAAATTCCAAGGTCCGCACTATATTTCAGTGCTGGTATTGGGGTAAGTGTTTCATTCGTTATAGGTATGACATTTCATCAAACTCATACAGTCTTCAATTGTGCTATTTTTAATGAGTATTTAATATTTGTTTAATTTATTAAAGTGCACTGCATCAATGTGTCTAATGCACCAATGAACAGCATTATTATCTTATATACTCCCGTCTTTGCTTTTCTGTACCCCCATCATGTTTCCATGTTTGGAACCATAATTAATTTACAATACAACAGTAGCTCAACAATTTCTACTACGGTTGTTGTTGATAGCTATGGACTACCACTTGGGCAGCTCTGAGTGGGCTAATGCTAGTTGTGATGGCTACTGGCCGTTTACAGAGCAGTTCCACAGTTCTTGGGGCTGGGTAGCGGTGGTGCCCTACTTGTTACCCACCATCAGGCCAGCCATGCTGTATTTGAAATATTTATATTGTGTTAACTTGTATTTTTGACAATTTTAATTACATCGTATTTTTACTCCAGGTTCGAACATGCTTTTGGTGGGTGTCCATGGACCCACGATACCATGTGAAGAAGTTTCCATAAAACATCTTGGAAACAAACAATACAACGTGACCTACCATGTGAAGGAGAAAGGAGACTATACCTTGGTTGTAAAATGGGGTGAAGAACACATTCCAGGAAGCCCTTTCCACGTCTCCGTCCCGTAATCTCCCATCAGGATCTTCCCTGAAAGGAATACATTTTCAATTGTAATTTAGGATAAGAACCCAAAAGATCAGTTTGCTTCTGTGCGAAAGATGTTTGACGGGGAAAAAATATATGAAAATATTCCTTGTAATTTTATACCTGACTTTTTTTATACAAGAGAATTTAACATTTTACGTGCATTTTTAGACGTCCTTCAATAATTTAAGTGCATATCCTAGTTGTGTCTCCTCATGGCGAATGGGGCTTATTTATACTTGGCAATATTATTAACCCCGTAGCTGCAGAGAAGGATAAAAAGTGCTAATGGCAAAGTGTGAATCAAGAGAACCGAAATAAATAAAATAAATTTCAAGAATTTTGTAACGATGATCTAAATTAGATAAGGTTCTAACTTCTGAAGAGATTTAAACAAACTTGCTATTATTGGGTAGAAAGTAACTACTGAGAATCACTGTTTTTGTAGTCCTCCATATAGTGTAATGTTGCAATTAATTAAATAAAAGTGTAGTCTGTCAACCATTGTTTTTGTCTGGAAACATGAAGTGATTGGGTGAGGGGGCATCCTGGTACTTTTTATTTTCTGTGCCTTTGTTATGTGTGTGTTAAGTCTAACTATCCAGCAGACACAGCTTTTAAAGAATCTGACTTTTTACTATTTTTCCTCTCTGTTTGCCGTTTTGTTTATAATTAAGAGAAGGATTAGCGTTTTCAGCCTTTTTGGCACCAGAGTAATAACCTCAACCTTGGTACCCAAAAGTTTTATTTTTCTGAATTCCTATGACAAAAGTGTCAGTTAAAAATGAATTATCAAACCTACTATAGGTTAGTTTAGTAATGATGCGTGACCTCACAGACATACAGTAGTTAATGCAGTATGCCTTTAAGTTTCCGGACAATAACGGTGCAAAATCGTATGTTTAGAAAAAGAAAAACCTTCCTGTTTGACTCATTTGTAAGATATTAACCCCTTACATGCCAGATAAACCAGCAGCAGACAACTGTGACACTGAAAAGAGAATATCTGGCATTAGTGTTTACATGAAATAAATCTAATGAGAATTTGACATGTAATATTTTCTTAAACAACCATAACGTTTTGACCCGTTCTACTCCTTTTTCTAATGCAAAACAGAAAATACCCAGATTTTCCTACTTTTTTGGCACCAGCAACAATACGGCATGGCTTACTGTGTTGAGATGCTGTGATATTTAACGTATGAAGGCACAGTCTGTACGTATGGGAGGAATTCAGTGGGGGTCAGTAACCTACTGTTTCACAAAAGCTACGGCATTTATATGCAAATATAATGATAATCAGTTACCTATCATCCTCCCCACCACTGAACCATTTTGAAATTAATATCCAGTGTCATGTTTTCACTTTGGAACTGTCTGAGAAATATATATGGTATAGGAAATCTTTCCATAACTTGATTTCAAGATTGCGTGCTCTGCCAGAACTTACACCCCAATGGCAACCGTTAATAGATGTAGGAATATTTTAAGAAGTACAATTGTTATCAAATTACATGTTAAATATAACCCAGTTTTACTGGTTTGGGTGTCCATGATTGTTACATGAACTGCTCACTGGATGCGAAATGTTAATATGTTCACTCCAAATTTGTTTTCAAGGGTGAAATGATCAAAGTGAGTTTTGTATCTTCTTTTTTTTGTTTGTTTGTTTTTTGCAAAATGTCTGTGTAAAGTAAGTTCATTGTTGTCTAACAGCAGTTTTCCTCTATGTAATAATCATCTCTTATAGCACAGTACCTAGTATAGTACATTTTAAACACTATTTTTGGATACAGTTGCTAGGTAACCAAGGTGTCCAATGTATTTTGCTATGCTTTGTGTCTTGTTTTGACAATCTCACTACATTGTAAATTCAAAATAAAGAGATCAATAACTGGAATAATTTCTATATCGAAGTTAAATAAAAATGCGACTATCATGATGTTTCCTATGTGTAATTAATTGTGTGTGACGAATGTGTCAATGTTAAGGGTGGGTTTTATTTTTATTTGTTAACTTTATGGGGTAAGATTATGCATTCATAATTCATAAAAAACATCAACACAGTTTTGGTAGACTTTTAACATCTCTATTGCAAATGTTTTCTTTTTTGGAGAACAAATTTTGTTGACTTTTTTTTGTAGTTTTTTTTGTGTAATGCGAAAAACTGTGACATCAATAGACATGTCACCATGGCATCATGTCAAAGTGTAAACAGAGAATGTGTGATACACATGGGTATCTGCACAATTTTCTGGTTAAACAATGCTCATCAGTAATGAAAAAACATACTCTGACTGACTATCTCCGCTTAATTCTCCTTGTATCTAGAAGAAACACTGTTTAGGGAATATAGCTCTTTCCCCAGTAACTAGACTAGACATTTGGGGAGTAAATAGTTTTTTTATTGTGAAGGCACCGTCTTTTATACATGGACCCCACTATGAGACCCCTATTCAACCCAGAGTAAGTCTGCCCTGGTGCCTCTGTGTCTGGGAGATTATTGAGTTTGCCCTCTCTTAAACTAATTATCTCCCGGACACAGAGGACAAAATACCCCAAAAATCACATGAAAAAAAGAAGGAACCCCAACATATCCTATGTTCCTGGATAACCCTGATCTGAGCACCCAAGTTGTCAAAATAGCACCCGGCTCCATGGAGAGTAGAAAAATTGCCACCGGGATAACATTTTGACCGCCCGTCAACATAGTCTATGGGGAAGTTCCAGACCAAATGTCTCTTCTGCTGGTTAATTATCGGGAGCTCCCCATGGCTCTCAGGGAGCGATTGTTCCTCTCAGTTCATAGTATCTCCCCTCCAAATAGCTTTCTCCTGGCAGGTCGGGTAGTGGGTAAAACAGGAATATAAGTTGGCCGGCTAATGTGAGGTTGTGCGTCTGAGCCGGACTTCCACGTGTTTATTACTAGGACTCGCTAGGGACCTCACTACTTTCTGGAGCCAAATGCCTGCCAGGGATGAGGTTCTCTCGGTTGTTAAGAATGGAGGGGGAAGGCACAGAGCCTGCTGCAGTGAAATAGCTCGTTAACAAACAGGTGAGGGGAAAATAACACACAGTTTGCCATACACATTCCCAGATGCAAATGTATAAAAGAAAAAAACATGAACTGAAATAGCTGAAGTTGTCACAGACATGCCAACCAATTCAGCACCGACCACAGGAGAGCATCCAGAGACCTGCGCGGGCAAGAAATACATTTTGGATTATGCGTCCGGCATCCAATTGGCTAAAGTCCCATATCATAGGTATAACTCATTCACCTGATGCCCAACCTTTTTAGGAGTTTAGGAGTTGGTGCCATTAAGTAGACAGTTTGGAGTAGGACATTGCACCTGCCCCATGGTAAAACATGAGCCATCACCACAGTTTCACAGACCCAGACACATGGTATGGAAGTCCTTCCCCGAATGGGGTCTCGTGAGGAAGACACGTTGAGAAGTTTCCCCCAGGTGTGGATGGTGTAAGCAGGGTTTTCCCCCATCTGGCTCTTTGTCCAGGTAGGCTTTGTGTGGAGGATTTCCCAGTTTTGGTACAGTTGGTGTGCCCAGTGCTTGTCTCAAACGTTTTTATTCATTGACTCAGCGTCTCCATCTCAAGATGAGTAGGTTGTGTTGCTGTAGTCGAGCATAGACGAATCTAGGCCCAGAAGTCAGCAAGCAGCCAGTCTAGTGCCTCGGAAGCGTTCCCTCAGAGGTGGCCAAATGTCAGGGTGTTCTGCCACAGCTCCATCTTGCTGTAAGCCCACACACTGTGCCCGTGAGGCCCTCGTTACCTTGTTTAGCCTCCCATGGTCCAGAGGAGGGAAGGGAGTAGGAGTCTGTGCATTAAGGATCAGTAGACTGGTACTAGGAAGCTGCTAACTTACCTATGTCTTCACCTGGCTATGCGTAAATCCTGAGAGCTGCAGTATCCTGGGCAGTATCCTGGGCCAGACTCTGTTGCTTTCAGGTTCGCCAACACATTAGAGAAATAAACATTAGCTATTGAAATCAAGATTTGTTTTGGTTACTCTGGAGCAGCTATAGAAGCATGCGTCTGCTTGACATGGCTACTGATTTTTGCTTCATTTTTAAGAGTGAATTTCCCCCGATTTACTATTTAATTAAAGGTGAACTGTCACTTCCCAGGATTTTTACTATTATGTTTTACTAATCCGCAGATTTAACAATGTTTTTGTGAGCTATGAAAAAATGAAATTAACTTTTTTTCCAGCAACTGGGTGCCTCCATCTTGGCTCTCTGTCATGTCAATCATTGTTAAGATAACACCTGCCAGTCAGCATCATGAAAGTGTACACGGAAAAGAAGGGAAACAATATTTCTATTACTCCTTCATTTGAAATGCTTGCCCTGGCTTTACTTTGCCTGAACTGGATTATGATGTAATTCACTAAATATTAAATGTAAATGAAAAAGGAAACAGGACATATATCAATGGTAATACAAGTTAAATGTTCATTATTCATTACTCTATCACATGGTCTCCAGCTCTGCAACCGGCAGACTAACAGGGAGAGACAAAGGACAACCAGGGAATTTATTAAAGTAAAAACAAAGGTAGGACACAGCCCCCACACCCTGCCCCCCCATCCCACACTGTAACTCTTTCTCTCCATGCACCCCCACTATAACTATTTTTCTCCCTGCCCCCCTGAAACCCTTTCTCACCCTGCCCCCCTACTTTAACCCTTTCTCACACTGCCCCACTATAACCCTTTCTCAATCTACCCACCTACTGTAAGCATTTCTCTCCCTGCCCCCCCCAACTGTAACCCTTCTTAACCTGCCCCCCTCTGTAACCCTTTATCTCCCTGCACCCCTACTGTAACCCTTTCTCAAACTGCCCCCCCATAACTCGTGCTCATCCTGCCCACCTACTGTAACCATTTCTCACATTGCCGCCCCAACTGTAACCCTTTCTTACCCTAACCCCCACTGCAACCCTTTATCTCCCTGCCCCAACTAACCCTTTCTTACCCTAACCCCCACTATAACCCTTTCTCACCCTGCTCTCCTACTGTAACCATTTCTCACACTGCCCCTCAACTGTAACCCTTTTTTACCCTCCCCCCTGTAACCCTTTCTCTCCCTGCCCCCCACTGTAATCCTTTCTCCCTGCCCCCCACTGTAGCCCTTTCTCACCATGCCCCCCTGTTATAATCCTTTCTCACCCTGCAACCCCTACTGTAACCCTTTCTCACAATGCCCCCCATACTGTAACCCTTTCTCACAATGCTCCCCTACTGTAGCCCTTTCTCACCCTGACCCCTACTGTAGCCCTTTCTCACCCTGCCCCCCCCCCCACTGTAACCCTTTTTCACACTCCCGCCCCACACTGCACAGCACCAAAAGCACGCCAACATCCATTATGTTATGCAGTGTGTGTAGTGAATCTAATGTTTGTTTGTGTAGTGGATGCAGTGTGTGTGTATATTGGAGGCAGTGTGTCTAGTGGATGCATTGTGTGTTCTGTTCGATACGTACTTGGGGGGTGATCAGTTTAAATTACATTGGGTTTTACCCCCCTGCACCGCCTCTCACCTGTGGGCTGGAAGAGGGGGACAGTGTATAGGAAGGTGACAGTATTGCGGGGCACTCTTTAGGAAGGTGTTTTGGGGGGAGTGTGTAGGAAATGACAGTGGGGGGGAGTGCATAGGAAGGCAACAGTGTGGGGGGGCAGTGCATAGGAAGGTGACCGTGTGTGGTGCAGTGTATAGAAAGGTGACAGCGTTGGAGGCATGGTATGGGGATAACAGTGTCGGGGGCAGGGTGTGATTATGATTGTGGACGGGATGACCGTGTGGGGGGCAGACTGACAGACATGCCCTTGCTGATACACATACACTGACATAAACTTACTGACAGACCGTCATTGTCTCACACACTGTTTAACCAACACACACGAACATACTGTCAGATACACATGCACTCGTTGACATACACACACTCATTGACAAACACCCACTTGCACATACACACTGACAGTCACACACACATTCAATGACAAACACGCAGACGTCACTGACACACAGTCTCACTGATTTGACACACACACTCATTTACAGACAGATACTCAAACACTCAATGACAAACACTGATTTGATACATACTCACAGGCAGATACACACATACAAATGTACTGACACACTCAATGACAGACACTCACATATTCACTTATTATTTTAATTTGACCACCCAGCCTCCCTACCTGTAGAGCTGGAGTGGATCTGGTCCAGTGGGATTGCTGTGAAGCAGGCAGCTGTGCATTCTAGGCAGTGAGGGAGCTGTAATTCTTCTGCTCTGCTCCCTCGAAGGCTGTCTACTGATGCCAGGAGTTGGAATATAACGTCATATTCCGGCATCAGTAAACTGTGTGTGAGGGAGCAGAAGGATTACAGCTTTACCCACTGTACAGCACTACGGAATTTGCTGGTGCTATATAAATAATAATAATTACTGCTCCCTCGCCACCTAGAATGCACAGCTGCCTGCCTCAGAGCAACCCCACTGGACCCCAGGGACGGGGGAGCACCAACTGCATATATAGGTATGCGCTATATATATATATATATATATATATATATATATATATATATATATATATATATATATATATGCAGATAGCCAGCCTGAGCTCCTAACGGCAGACTGGGGCGGCAAAATGGCCATGGCTCCACCGGGGTCTATGGACAGGTCGGCCCTGCACACACTGCATCCAGTACACATGCACTGCAATCAAACGCAAACATTACATACAAATACACCCCTGTATTAAAACACTAGAATTATATTCAAACATCCCTTCATTCGAACACCAACACTACACACAAAAGCACACCTGCATTTAATATCCAACACTACATACAACATACCCGCCTGCATTCAGACACAAACACTAGACACAACCACTGCATTCCAATGGCAACAGTACATACAAATGCACACTTTATACTAAAACATGTTTACCTTGAAACGGTCAAACACTGCTAACAACCCTGCAAGGATGGGCAAATGGTGCATCCCCAGCTGGCAAAGCTTTGTTGGAGTTTTCCGACAGATGGGGACATACATTTTGACCAGACTAAAGTGGTCCCAGAAAACGTACTTGCACCAAGACGCACTTTACAGTAGTTCCACCACTGGTGCTCAGATGAAAGAGCACTCCTGATTCTGCCTCAGTCTGTGGGTAAGCAGTTGTATGCATCTAAAGCTGCCATGATATCCCAAAATATGCCTCTAATTCTGCCATGATATGCCAAGTTTATGCATTTAAAATTGATTGCTATGGTGTGCCAATGGTATGTATCTAAAGCGGATTGCCATGGTGTGCCAATTTTATGCCTCTAAAGCTGATTGCCATGGTGTACAAATTTTATCTAAAGTTGCCATGCTGTGCCAATTTTATGCATCTTAAACTGCCATGATGTGCCGATTTTATTCATCTAAAATTGATTGCTATGGTGTGCCAATGTTATGCCTCTAAAATTGAATGCTATAGTGTCAGTTTTATGCCTCTAAAACCGATTGCCATGATGTGCCAAGTTTATTCATTTTTAAAATATGCATTAACAGCGAGTAGTTTTGGCCCACAAAAGTTTGGGAAGCCCTGCTCTATGGGTAAATTATACGTTTTTGTCTGTGTGCTATGCATTATATATATATTATATTTATTACGCCTCATTTTCCAAAATTCAGTTTTTCAGTTGAATTGATAAACACATTGCAAGATTTAGTACTGAGTAACGCTGTTGGAAAATTGTCTTCAATTTTCAAATGGCACACACAAATTTATTGGCTACAGCAACTCTTGGCAGAGATTGGGTTAAAAAAATGTATTTCTCATTAATTATTGCCAAGTGAAAGTCTAATTACTTTACACCCATTTTAGTGTTTCAAATACTGCATGCTTAATTGGAAAGGCTATTGTTGGCAATAAATTGAGAATATCAATAAGAAAAAGCTTCTCAATTTATTGCTTTCTACAAGTTAATCCTCTTCGTTTCCATTCACAAAGTCCAGCATGTTCTCTCCTCCCTCACTCTTCTCTAGTAACAGTTTCCCTGGAGATCACCAGATACACTGAGCTCTAAACAGGAGCTAGCTCCTTCTCACATTACATAAGCCTGCAGGACTACTGGTTGATCTCTTCCACTACCCTTCCATACTAAGTGATCAACATGAGAGATCTGCTTACTACTAGGAATCAAAATTGCTGGAAAGAGCTAATTGAGAAGGAAACAATCTCACGTGTGACGTGGAAACTAAATTATGACAAAGAGCACCCTCCGAATGAATTTGCCATTGTTAGGAAGAGAAGAGAGATGCCTATTCCCAATGCTGGGACACCACTTCCTCCTCTGGTTAATGTTCCAAAACATTCCTTAGTGACAATGTCCCAGGAGATGGACAATGAGCAGGCTGACCTTCAGGACTTCAGTGAGATGAGACCAGTCACTCCTCAGACTCACCATTTACTCTATGATGGCTTCTCCAAGGAGGGCAAAGGCAGGTCAATGTACCTGAAAAGGCGAAAGGAGTTTGCTCCAGAGTTAAAATATCCACATCCAGTATTATCTTCTTGGGATTACGGTTGGAGACTAGGTATGTGGTCAGAGGCAAATTTTAGAAGGCTTTGGTTAATACATTCTCTGCAGTTAGGAGTCATGAAAAAAATAATATATAAAAACCAACGTTTGTATTTTACTGCCGCAATTCTTCACTGGTTTGATCAATAGAACCTTTTGCAAGGTTCATTACATACGTAACATTAATTGAATTGTAATAAAATACTATTTATATGCCTCTATAACATCAACACTTTGACAAGGTTATTCTATAAGTGTCAGGAATTCAATGAGAATTTTAAATTATATGCCAAAATAGTAGAGCTGAAAAATCTTAATATTTTTTTCCAATTTGGCTATATAGGCCTACAATTTAGAATTTACTTTGAATCCCCTAAAATTCAAACGGAAGGGAATAAACTTGGATTACTCACTATACTCTGTATTATACCAGTCCAAATTGCAAAATAACCAGTCTGTACAAATTCTCCCATTTGATTTCAGTTACTGCTTGGCTATTTTACCCTCAATTTTGGCATCCAGATTTAAATAGCAAAATGTTGATGTTTAGCGAATAACCCTGCTTGTGACTGTTGCACATTATGTCATGACTGTTTTTGTTTCAGTAAGTTGCTGTTTGTTTGCTTTCTACATTAATAGTTCTTTCTTTTCCTACTGACACTCCAAGGATTAATGACAAGTAGGTTGTCAGGTGGGGCAAGTAACAATGTTGTCCTTAGAACCCTTTAAAATTAGCAAGTGTGTTGTACAGTAAGGGGAAAAAGTATTTGATGCCCTGCTGATTTAGAAATAGAAATGGTCAGTCTATAATTTTAATGGTTGGTGTGTTTTTACCCTGAGAGACAGAATAACAAAAAACAAAAAAATCCAGAAAAATGCATGTCAAAAAAGTTATAAATTGATGTGCCTGTCAATGAGTGAAAGAAGTATTTGACCCCCTTCGACTTATTACTTGGTGACAAAACCCTTGTTGGCAATCACAGAGGTCAGATGTTTCTTCTAGTTGGCCACCAGGTTTGCACACATCTAAGAAGGGATTTTGCCCCACTCCTCTTTTCAGATCCTCTCCAAGTCATTAAGATTTCGAGGATGACGTTTGGCAACTCGAACCTTCTGCTCCCTCCACAGATTTTCTATGGGATTAAGGTCTGGAGACTGGCTAGGCCACTCCAGGACCTTAATGTACTTCTTCTTGAGCCACTCCCTTGTTGCCTTGGCTGTGTGTTTTGGGTCATGTTCATGCTGCAATACCCATCCACAACCTATTTTCAATGCCCTGGCTGAGGGAAGGAGGTTCTCACCCAAGATTTGACGGTACATGGGCATCCATTGTCCCTTTGATGTGGTGCATTTGTCCTGCCAGCATAATGTTTCCACCTTCCATGTTTGATGGTGTTCTTGGGGTCATAGGCAGCATTCCTCCTCCTCCAAACACGGCGAGTTGAGTTGATGCCAAAGAGCTTGATTTTGGTCTCTTGTGACCACAACACTTTCACCCAGTTCTCCTCTGTTCATTGGCAAACTTCAGACGGCCCTGCACATGGGAAAGTTCATTGGCAAACTTCAGACGGCCCTGTACATGTGCTTTCTTGAGCAGGGGGACTTTGCAGGCGCTGCAGGATTTCAGTGTGTGTTACCAATTGTTTTTTTGGTGACTATGGCCCCAACTGCCTTGAGATCATTAACAAGATGCTCCAGTGTAGTTCTGGGCTGCTTCCTCACCGTTGATGGTCATTGAGGTGAGATCTTGCATGGAGCACCAGACCAAGGGAGACTGACCGTTATTTTGTGTTTCTGCTATTTGCGAATAATCGCACCAACTGTTGTCACCTGCTCACCAAGCTGCTTGGCAATGGTCTTGTAGCCCATTCCAGCCTTGTGTAGGTCTACAATCTTGTCCCTGACATCCTTGGACAACTGTTTGGTCTTGGCCATGGTGGAGAGTTTTGAATCTGATTGATTGCTTCTGTGGACAGGTGTCTTTTATACAGGTAACAAACTGAGATTAGGAGCACTCACTTTAAGAGAGTGCTCGTAATCTCAGCTTGTTACCTGAATAAAAGACTCCTAGGAGCCAGAAATCTTGCTGAATGGTAGGGGATCAAACACTTATTTCAGTCATTCACATGCAAATCAATTTTTTTTGTTATTCTGTCTCTCACTGTTAACATGCACCTACCATTAAAATCATAGACTGATCATATCGTTTTCAGTGGTCAAACATTCAAAATCAGCAGGGGATCAAATACTTCCCCCCCCCCCTCAGGGCCGGTGCTAGGATTTTTGACTACACAGGCGAAGATGCATTTTGACGCCCCCCCCCAAAAAAAATAAATAAACAATGCATCTTCACCTCTGTGTCTCGTAGCCCCCTTTTGAATTTCTTACCCCCATTAGTGTTGCATATCCACTCTCTTGAATGTCTTACCCCTTTGGCCCCTTTGTGCCTTACACCCCCCTTTAGTGTGTCTCCTACAACCCCTATTATGTATTTCTTACTTGCCAGCCCCTATCTATCTCTCTTTTTCTCCCACATAGACATAGATACAGGCTAAAATACATACATGCACAAATACACAAACATACAGACACACAACCATACAAGCACACAGACATAATTTTTCAGGCACACAGTCACAAAGATATACAGACACACAGTCATAAAAGGCACACAAACAAACACAGTCATACAATCTACACATACAGGTACATTGTCGTACAAACACAGACATACATTCATACAGACACAGGCATTCACAGAAATACATACACAGACATAAAGAAACAGAGATAGGCATACAGAGACATACATACACAGACAAACAAAGAACCCTGCACACTGACACCGTGTAAATGCTCCGGCCATCAACAGAGGTGGATGCTCCATGTCAGGCAGACATTGCTGGATCCACCAGTAAAGTCTTCAAAAGGAATAAACGCAGGCAACACTCCAATAGTAAGGATGGTATATTTATTGGTAGGTGAACCACCCCATAGAAAGTGTGATGTTTCAGCTCATGCAATAAGGCTCTGCTGAGCCGAAACGACGCACTTTCTTTGGGGTGGTTCACCTATCAATAAATATACCATCCTTACTATTGGAGTGTTGCCTGCGTTTATTCCTTTTGAATACATTTACACAGTCATACAGAGACATACATACTGTATGTCTCTGTATGACGGTCTGTGTATGTACACAGGATAGCTAAAAGATAGATCCCCATCTGTCGTGCAACTTCAACAATGCTTTGAAAGCTGGGGCTCTACCGATTCCCCATTCTTGCAGGATTGTATTTAGCATGGAGCAGTATTTGTGTGTTTGACTGTAAGCATGTGTTTGTATGGAGTATGTTTGTATGATTGTAGCGGTGTGTTTGTATGTAGTGTTTGCATTTGAATGCAAGCATGCATTTATGTGTAGTGTTGGTTTTTGAACGCAGGTGTGTGTTTATATATAATTTTGGTGTCTGATACAGAGGTGTGTTTGTATGTAGTGTTGACATTTGAATGCAGGGGTGTGTTTGTATGTAGTGTTGACGTTTGCATGTAGGTGTTTATTTGTGTGTAGTGTTGTGTTTGAATGCTGAGATATATGCACATATACACATACACTGCCACACACGCACACACTGTGATACACATACACAAAGATACACACACTGACACATGCAGATATACATATACACAAACTGATACACATTCAGATAGACACACAGGTACACACAAACACTGACAGACATACAGATAAACACACAGTGACATACAGACACACATACACAATGATAGGGAAGAAGACACACAAAGACACACTAACAGACAGACACACACACTAACAGACATTTAGATACACACAGACACATGGACAGAGACATATACATACACACACTGACAGACATGGATGCACACACACACACTGACAGACATAGATACACACACACACACACTGACAGACATACACACACACACACTGACAGAGATAGATACACACACACACTGACAGACATACACACACACACTGACAGACATAGATACACACACACACTGACAGACATACACACACACACACTGACAGACATAGATACACACACACACACACTGACAGACATACACACACACACTGGTGACCTTAGATACACACACACACACACGCACACTGACAGACCTTCTTACACACACACACACACACTGACAGACATAGATACGCACACACACGCAGCAGACGACAGACATAGATACACGCAGACACACTGACAGACATACACACACACACACTGACAGACATATACACACACACACACACTGACAGACAGACATAGATACACACACACACACACACTGACAGACATACACACACACACACACACTGACAGACATACACACACACACACACTGACAGACATAGATACACACAGACACACTGACCAACAGGTTCAGAAGGGGGGCTTACCTGGGATCCAAAGTGCTGCCTAAGGTAGTTGGGAGTTGGAGGAGCTGGTCCTGCCCAGCCCCCCTCCTCTCTGCCTTCTGCTGCTCTAGTCTTCTTGGGAGGACTTCCTCCCATGCTGAATAGAAGGGGGCCCGTAGCTCCGCCCCTGCTGGGCACCAGCCGCGCTGTGTGCTACAGTGGGAGCAGGGATATGACGTTCATATCCCCGCCCCCTCCACACAGTCCGCGGCACTGCAGGTTGGCGCTCGGCCACGCTACAAGAAGTGACCGGCAGGAGAGGGGCGCTGTGCGCTTCCCTCCTGCCGGTCACCTGGACATTTGCGCCCCCGGGCCGGTGCGCCCTAAGGCGGCCGCCTGTGCCGCCTTATGGACGCGCCGGCCCTGCCCCCCCTCACTGTAGGTACTCTATGTGCCCCCCAAATTATAGGAAAGGTTGTATTTTATGTTCAGAAATAGAATTTGGCAAAAAAAATTATCCAAAAACATTACAGAGGTGTGAACCTATTTTTTGTTGACTGCCCCATTATTTGTAATCAATTACAGGGGCTAGCTAAGGCTACATGGTTCTCTAAACCACATGGGCATGGGATTGTGGGGATATCCAGTTATTTAAGTATTTAACAGGATTATTAAGTATGGTGAGAACCCAATGTGAATTTGAAGAGGATGGTACTTTTCAGGGCAAAGTAACCAACCTGGAAGTATAGTTGACTTAGAGAATTTTTTTAATTGTAGGGACGCTCTGGTCACCATAACAACTTCAACTCTATTAAGTTGTTATGGTGGCAGGAGGCCCCCAGACGCACTCCTACCTTAATGAGTTAAACTGCTATCAAACGGTTTATCCCGCAAAGTGTGCCTGCAGAGGTGATCCGCAGGTCCCCAAGGCGACATCTGAATCTCAGTTTCAGGACATGGGTGCCGCTGTTTGGCCTAGAACAGTCAGCTGATACTCTAAGCAATTCAGCTGCTTCCCACTGATAAAACAAAGGGTATGTTTCTAATTTTGCATGATCCTGTACCACTTGTATCTAAGTAATAACAATTTGAGGTTCTTCACTAGTTAGAGTTAAGGACAACTGACTCTCAATTCTCCAAATCAATTATTCTTCCATCCTCCTAAAATTAGCAAATCCCTTGTTTATCCTTGACAATTACCAGTATAAGATTAATTTAACATTTTAAGTAAACAGTCCATGCTGGTTCTAGGACCGGTGTGATAGTCAATTCATTCTCTTAGAATTTTCACAATGTACACTGTCTTTTTCAGATGATATCGTAAAGGAATTTAGGGTTCCAATCCATGGGAGATCCAAGATCGTCAGAGACACGTTCTACAGCCGAAATGGAATTCTTCAAGAACCATCTTACACTGACAGGATGCTCAGATAGTTTCTTCATATAACTAGACATGTCATTTCTTTCTACTGCAGAGTTTGAAAATTATCCTTCCCATAAGAATCAACTGGATGAGTGACTGGGGGAGAGAGTCCATAACTGTCAAACCTCTAAATATTAACACTACTCTATACTGTGCTTTATAATATATCTTTGTTACTGACTTGATGCCAGAACACAATGCTGAACTAAGGTAAACAAAGTTTAGCAGCGAAAAGGCCTTGTCTTAAATCTGTTCTGTGTTCAAAGCCTATAATTAAATGACCTTGTAAATACTAATCTGCAGCAATGTCTATTGTATTTTGTTACCTAATAAATGCACATCCATGCAGCTTATTTTATCGGTAACTCCACTGTAAGTCATGTAACAATATGGCTTAAATCACTGTGACACAAATTATTTATACTAGCTGGTGGGCAGTATATAAAAGATCATGCCGCTTTGGAGTTCAAATTCTAAAGTGATTAATCAGAAATGCTAATTTCCAACTACTGCAGGGCAGCACTTTTCATATGCTGTCTATTAACACAATAATATGTATCCAGGAAAACAAGAATCAGTCCTGTTAAAGCAAAGGCTTCTGTATTTTTGAGTAACAGAGAAAAGGAAGCTGGACTGGCGACCGCGGTATTGCACTTCAGTGTTAGACGTTTCGAAAATGTTTTAACATTTGAATGTAAGACGGTGCAGGGGTATTCTTGGCACCATAGCCACTTAAATGAGATAACGTTGCTTTGGTGCCCAGAGTGTTCTTTTAATTCTTAATGGTAAGACACAAAGTGGTCTGATTGTAGTATGGACCATCCACAGACCGTTCAAGTTACCCAATCCTCACCTGACCAACACTGCGATGGGGGGTTGGAGGGAAAGAGGAGCACAAACGTTTTATTATGTGTGCTTGTGCAACAATTGGAATGAAATTCATGGCATAAGCAATCCTGCCATTCTGTTAAGCATGCAAGTGCTCTGTGCGTGGGCTACTGAGTGAGGTGGCCCATGTTTTGCTCGACAATATTGTCCTTGATGGTAATTGCTCTATGTCCATGTTTAACCACCACCCCTGCCTGCGCCCTGGTGGGGTAAATGTGGTGCACTATGATAATTCTTTGAACAGTGAATTGACTTCCTTCATGCAGATAATGCAAGACGGAACGTTTCATACCCTACTGATGGATTGATATAAGGTGGATCCAGCAAGGCTTAGGATGAAAGGAATTTCAATGGTTTCCTTATGTGGATGCTGAAGAACAAGTTTGCTGGTGTGTAGTAACAATTAGCCACGTTTATGGTCCAATTTCTTACAGATATACCAGTTCTTCAACATGCTTACTTTGTAGTATTTTCCTTTATTTGTTAAATGTCACAGACAATGAATTCTCTCTGTTCTCCACTGTTTGCTTTGTTTAATAACAGAGAAGTTGCCTTAGTTTGGATGTTCCCTGGTTCAACTTAAAGGGACACGCACTAACACACTATGTGCAATGTGTAGGTTATGTATACAGTCGTTCCGTTCTTGCCTTTTTAAAAATTATTATTATTTGTTATTATTTATTATTTTTTATCCCTCCCAAATTGCAACTTTTTGCTGAAAAAGTACTGTTGTGCACAATATCAAGACATAGATTTTGCTAAATTTGAGTCTTCACTCCGGCAGAGGGGAATACTGAGAGCCTGGACAGCACCACTGGTCCACCAGGGAATATTCTCCCCACCCTCCCTGGATACAAGTAAGAAACAGGGATGGGGAAATTAACATTTTAAAAGAAAACAATATGATTACAAAATAAAAAACCCATCACCCCTCACATAAAGTCCCCAACTCTCTCACACACATACATAGACACACAATGCATCCCTTACACACAACACAGACAGACACAATGCACCAGAAGTTTACACCATATGCGGGTACTTGAAGGGACACTATAATCACCAGAACCAACTAAAGTTTAATGTGGTTGTTCTGGTAAATATAGTCTGCCCCTGCAGTCATTTTCATGTAAACACAATTTTTCCAATGCATTCCTAAGGGAAATTATTGGATTGGTTGAGATAGTCAGTTTTGATGATCTCAGCCAAGGAGACGGATCAGGGCATCAATGTCGGCTAACCCACGCATGCTGCACTAAAGGTACATTTTGCCCTATTTAGGGGGGCAAGGGGAGGCCAGATAAAGTGTTTTTAACACTATAGAGTCAGGAATACACATTTGTGTTCCTTTAAAATGTGTTATTGCTTATTGTGACGAGACCAATCTCGCCACATTGAATTGGAGAAGCCTGGTTGCTCGCCTGTTGCCTTTGGATTATGGCCCCATGTTAAAAGGCTTGATTTTCCCCTGCAAAGACATGAAAGCCGGGTCATTTGGTGCTTGCCCTGTTTGAGCAGTGATACCCCAGATAGCTATGCCATGGAGCCCATTCGGATAATGAAAGACTATGGGAAAGACTTTGGCTCCATGGCAATTAAACTGTATGTGTGTGCTCTGAGCGCCATTCAGTAATAATGTGCGCTCAGATCTGAGCTTTCTGGGGATATGTTGAATGTATATGTTTTGTGCAATGGCTGCACAGTTATATGTTTTTATGTGTTTTATTGTCTTTTGCTGCCATGTGTTCAATGGAGTTTTGCCTCTGTCCTTGGAGATAATTGGATTACTTCCAAATTATCTCCAGGATAGAAGACGCTGTGGAACTGGTTTTGGGCAGAAAAGCCATGCTTCCTTTGGTCACAAAGGACTACGATCTATCTTTTGAACCACTGGACCAATTTGTATGATTTTGACGTATCTTTGTATTTGGAGTATGCTGATTCTGAAAATGTAAGTTATATGTGAATGTGATGCATACTTTTCAAGTTATGAATAATGTGGAAAAATTGTATTTCTCTGCTTGCTATAATTACATTACCCATTGTGTAAAGTAATTGTATCACAGGCAGAGGGGAGGATTTTGTGTGGGAGTGTCTGAGTGTATTGTATGTGTTTATTGGTTGTGTTCCAAAACCCTGTGGGTGGTACTAATGTGTATATAAGAACAATAAACCCACAGCTCTGACTGTTCACTGCTTGACCTTCAACACGGAGCTTTGTCTCGTTCTTGGGGGGATTTACTGTATGCTCTTCCAGTTTGACTGCTAGGAGTGTAAACCAATTCGTATGTTTTTTCCTATTCGGCTGTTTACGGTATTCATATGGTTTCCTGTTCGGCGGATTGGTGTTCTGCAGTAGCTGTGCCTGTGTCTCTGGAAGGGAAGATCTACTAAACGGCGATTTAACCCTTTTATGCCTGAGGGTGCCGTTACAATTGGTGGCAAGCGGCGGGATCGTTCCTACAGCCAGAAGGACAGCTACAGGAGACACCATTTCTTTGGATTTTACAAATTGAGGGCAACGCATGTCTGAGTACAGTGACGCTGACAGCATCAGGATGGAACCAGCAGTGGAGTACGATGAGGGTGTCATGGATGACCGAGATGCAGTTTGCAAAGGCATCTGGTACCAGGCACTGGGCATTGTGGAGTACCAGCGGGGCGAGAGACTCCCCAAGGAAGACCAGCGATTGCAGAAGCGACTAGCCCTGCGGATGCCCTTCCTGGGAGAGCAGCACTTGGAGGAATGGGTGAAGGAATTGGAGCTCCGGGTATGGCAGGAGATTTGGCTGGAAGATGCCTACCAGGCGCTCTGGTGGTATGGGGCACAGTACCTGCCCTGGACAGCCGAGCATGACAAGCCAGAGGGAGAGGAGTTTGATGGTCCTGGTTTGTTATGGGAGGCTTTTTCAGAGCCTGAGTTTGGGAGCTCTACACAAACTCAGTTCAGTGATCTCTTGGAGTGGAGGGAGAGCAGGTATGACTGGGATGACACTCATGAGATTGAGCAAGACCTGGTCCACCTAGTGACCCGAGAGATGGAGCTGGAGCAGGGCTACCAAGATCTGTTTCACTCCAGTGAGAAGGCTCAGCAGGGAAGCGGAGACCCAGATCCATTCAGCTGGGCAGATATTGCAGAATGTTACTGGGAAGAACCCCAGGTGGCTGGTGGAGATGGGACCAAGGTAGCTATGCCTGTGTCTCTGGAAGGGAAGATCTACTAAACAGCGGTTTAACCCTTTAATGCCTGAGGGTGCCGTTACACTTATAATTACTTTTTATTTACTGTTTTTTCCCCCATATAGTAATGGCCATACTGGCATGTGAAGCCCTAAGCCTCTGCCACAGATGTGGCATTAACTAATTAAAACAGCCAACTTATACTCTGCCATGATTCTTGGACTATCTACTGCATGCAAAGAATTCTGGAGTTGTAGGCTATCAATATCTGGAGGGTCCGAGACCGAGTTTGAGTTTTGCTTCTTAATTGAGAAATTTGGCACTGGTATTCTTAAACCCTTGTTTAAGACATCAGGACTGTCTACCCTACTCGGGACTGTTGGAAATTATGCCAAAATGTGCTTATCAATGTTGCTTATTAATATGCAAAGCTGAGGTGATTAGCACAACATTTTGCACTTTTTCACCACCAGATGTCAGCAGTACGTAGAAGTGTGTATATTATGACCAAAAGATCAAGCAGTTGCCATCTCCTTATATAAAACAAGGGCAGATCCAGAGTCCAATTTTAGGAATAGCACAGGAACAGGGCTCCCACCTATTCCAATTATGGTGCATCAATACCAATGTTTGGATCTTGTCCTGCCGTCTTGAGTTGGATCCCTAGTATCCTGCATCGGGGGGCACTAAGGACCTTACCCCTGCCAGCACAGCGCTAGAGCATCATTAGATGAACATCAGCAGCACTCTCTGCATGGCCTGCCGTGATTTGGGCCAGCTTAAAGGTCTCATTTTGGGCCAGTGTTATGTCCCCCTACTTGTGTCCTGATCATATACCTCTAAAATGTGGGAGATATGCTGGAAAATGATTTAAATAGCAGTGCAGTATAAAGACAAAACTGCACCTTAGTCATGTTTCTTTTGCCTACACATTGGGAATTAAAATCCAGAGTCACAGCGTGGCTATTTTAACCTTAACTTTGCAATTTTTCAGTTCACTACAATTTGGAGTTTACTGAATAACCCTGAGCCATGTGAAGCGATGCGCCTGTGTTGCACTTGCTGTGGACAGTTCCCTTGTGTCCTCAGGTGCAGATCCATGACACATCTGTTTGTTCATTGAGGCTGCCTATCCACGTCTCTCCCCACCTTATTCGATACATTTATTTCTCCCAATGTTACCACCTTCCATCACTTAAGTCACTCTGCCCATGTCTCAACTTTCCCTTACTTTTCAAATTTGTGGAAAAGGAGTGACGAGAAGTTTCATTCATGATTAGATGTTAATTTAAAACTATTCAGTCAGCTAATAGAAGTCAAAGAGTGGCTTCTGTTAGTTTAGCTTTGTTTCATATATTTTCAGGAATGAAGCTACTCGGTCTTCACATCTGTGTACATACGCTGATCGGCCATAACATTAAAACCACTGACACGTGAAGTGACGAACCTTGATTATATCTTTACAATGGCACCTCTCAAGGAGTGGGATATATTAGGCACCAGCTAAACAGTCAGTTCTTACATTTTATGTGCTGGAAGCAGGAAAAATGGGCAGGTGAAATGATCTGAGTGAGTTTGACAAGGGCTAAAAAGTGGTGATTACAAGACTGGGCCCGAGCACCTCGAAAAACATCAAATCTTGTGTAGTGTTCCTGGTGTGCAGTGGTTAGTACCTACCAAAAGTGGTGCATGGAAGAGCAACCGGTGAACCAGCATCAGGGGCATGGGCGCCCAAGGCTCATTGTGCAGTGTGGAGCGAAAGGCTAGCCTGTCTGGCCCAGTCACACAGAAGAGCTTATGAAGCTCAAATTGCTGAAAAGCCTAATGCTGGCCATGATAGAAAGGTGACAGAACACACAGTGCATTGCAGTTTGTTGTGTATGGGGGCTGCATAGCCGCAGTCCAGTCAGAGTGCCTGTGATGTCCCCTGTCCACCACCAACAGTGCCTGCAATGGGGACATGAGTATCAGAACTGGACCATGGAGCAATGGAAGAAGGTTGGCTGACCTAATATATCACATTTTCTTTTAGATCAGGTGGATGGCCAGGAGCTTTTACCTCATTTACTTGGGGAAGAGACGGCAGCAAGAAGGAAAAATGAGCAATGTTATGCTGGGAAACCTTGGGTCCTGGCATTCATGTGGATTTTACTTCAACACACACCAACTACTTAGAGATTTAGAGCAGCACTTCGAGGGGTCGATGCACTCGGTAAATATAAAAAAATAATTAAATTTTGAAAAAATGAAATAAATTTTTTTTATTTAACCCCTACCCTCCCTCCCTCCCCATGTACTTACCGATCGCTGCCATTCCCCCGCCGGCAATCGGTCTTCTTCTTAGTGGGACTGTCTGCAATTTAGGACCCCCGGGGGCAAAGTGACCGCTCTAAAAGAGCGGTCAGATGGCCGTAATAGGTGTCCACAGTGCTGCTCGCAGGGGGACGGCGTGAACTGACAGGCAGTCCCCCTGCTGGTGAAAAAAGTTTTGAAAAAGTTTATAAAATAAAAAGTTAATAAATTAAAAAAAATATATATATATATATATGTGTGTATATATATATATATGATATATAACATGATACTAAGTGTATTGTTTTATTGATATATACATATATTAATATAAAAATACACTTATAGTAAAATTACACTCGTGTGTATTTATTTATAAAATATTTTACCAGGTTGGATACATTGAGATTTCTCTCGTTATATTATATTTTAATATTATATATATTACATAAATAATTTCATAAATATGCATGTAGACTTCAAATATATAAGTATGCATATATATTTAAATTCCATGTGCATATTTATGTATTATTTTTACATAATTAAGTAATTTTATTGATTGCAATTTGGGGGACCGGCCTGACAACCCAGGCCGAAAGTCCATAGAAAGTCCATAGACCTAATTATGTAAAAATATTACATACCTATATGTAGAATTATTATATATATATCATTTTTTAAAATTATTTTTATTTATATATAGGTATATATATATATATATATATATATATATATATATAGTGATATATATACTTATGTATATAGAGATATATATTATTTAATTCTACATGTATTTTGATATCAATTTATATTAAAATCAAAATACAGTTTGAACGAAATTACACATATATATTTAATTATTTCTTTTTTATTTTTAACATATTTACATATTTATTTATTTTATGATATATATATATATATATATATATGTGTATATATATATATATATATATATATATATATATATATATATATATATATATATATATATATACATACATACAGTGGCGTACTAAGGGGGGGGCGGTCCGCCCCGGGTGCCAGCAGGGTGGGGGGCGCCTTGGTAGGGGGCGCCGGCCCCCCTCCTGCTGCAGCCGCTGAGCGCTCTGCAGAGAGCCTCGGGCAGCTGCAGCTTTGCCCGCCCGGGCGCAGCCTGAGGAGAGGGGCTGACAGGAGGGAAGCGCTGAGTGCTCCCTCCTGTCACTCCCTCCCTGTAGCGTGGCCGA